ATTCGTCTTCCGCTTGTTTTGCTCCGATTTTGTGAAAGGTGCACCTACACAGTATTCGAGATCTTCCTTTATCTCAGGGTCTCAGGACGGGGTTGGAACTGCCAAAGTGCTAGTCTGCCTCGACATCCCTAGTGTCTCTGGTCAGTTTACCACGTAACCCGTGTGTTTAGAGACACTGAATAATAAAATATGCCTGGGTGTCACAAAAAGTGGCGTTCGTGCATCTACTCACTATTCTTGCAACCCCAGTTTATACGAATTCTCTATCTTCACGTTGACTCTGCTCTCAACATTCCGATCTTCATTCTGCTATTTTATCCAAATGGGCAACCAAAACCAATGCATGAAAATGCATGGTTAATGGTTGTGAAAAATGAAACTGAATTTTCAGCATAAAATAGAAAGACGTTGAACGACAGTCCTAACCAATGTTTCTCCTCACTCAGGTATTTAAGCCACCACTGAGATTACAATACATTCGATCTCAGACTAGGGTAACCATACTCGATTCCCCATGTCACTGTGCACTCCCCTATGTACGGACATCTTTGCCTTAGAAGCGCTGTTCCTCATTCATTGATAAAAATAAAATGTCTTTTTAATTCCTTTTTCTATTTATTGAATATACAAATGTACAGTCAACTTTCAGGAAGGGAGCTGCAGCCATACAAAGGCTGTCTGGGGAAAATACAGATCAAGCGAAGACGGGCGGTGGTGGAGCGGTTTGAATCCGGGACACTCAGGTCACTATAGTTGGTGACCTAATCACCTAATCACTTGGCCACCACCGCCTAGGTATGCATATGATCCAGTGATTCGTTCTTTTGCCGTGTTTACTAATTGTCACATGGGAGCATATGCGACGAAATTTGTCAGCTTTTCTTCTAACATCCCCGGGGGCAGTTGAGTGGTACTCACCTGTAATGCCGGGAAGTCCTGAATCAAATATCACACAGAATTGAGTCAATTGTGGTGAGTGGCTGTAACATCTTGGTGAACTACAAAAACACTTCGAAATGCCTGATGCAATGTCGAAAAATGTGTATTTGTTTTAAAGATGTGCCTTTTGTTTTTTATCTCAAAGTATACATTTTCTGTATTCGACTTATTTCGGTTTGCCGCTTGTTCCATTTTCACTTCCCCTTAAAGCACATATCTATATGCGCTATCTTCAAATGACCAAATCACCTCGTCTTTTCTTCATTCCAGCTCAATCTCTATCACCAAATCAGCAGAATGATACCATCGGGTCAAGTGGTCTAGGATCGCATGCTACTGGTAATGGTCCCGTCAGTCTGAAATCAGTTGTCCAACTGTCGCCCGGCTCGCATGCCTCAAGTTCACCGGGATCGACCGGTGTCCCTGGTCTTGGAACGGCAACTTCTTCCACCGTATCCGCAGGAACGAATTCCGGCGGTGTTTCTAGCTCACTTGGTTCCGGTAGCGGGCCAAAACGTGACAAGAAGTGCACATATTGTGGAATCCCGTTCTCCAATCTGGACACATTGAATGCTCACATGACGCATTATTGCTCTCGCCGACCACAACTTTCTCACAGTTCTCCGGCACATGTGCCAGCCGGTACTACTACTGCTGCTGCGGCTGCTGGTGCTGCTCCGTCTGGTACCGTTGCGGTCACTGGCGGAACGTTACCTAGTGTCAATCTGGATTCCGGAGGCACGAGTACACAAACGCCGACCCTGGGAAAATCATCGAGTGCCGGTACAGGTACAGTGAAGAACTTTTGTCAAATGTAATCGCTTTAAATTTTCACCTAGTATGGTCAACATGCTAATGGACTCATATTCGCACGGAACACTGCACGATACTCGATTATCCACTATTGAAGTTAATCATGTGATGAATGTCACCACAGCAACCTAGCCAGTCCGTCGTTTAGGTTGCTGGTCTCGCTTGAATGACCAGTAGGTCGTCTGGACTTTCGGGTTCACCTCTTCCACTGTCCATCACACACAATGGTGTCCCAAGTAAATAATACTGCTTACAATTCGAAGTGTCTAAAAAGTTCCTTCATACAAGGTATGAAGTCACGTTTGTTAATTTGTAAGTCAAAATCAGTTACATACAATAGTACGTGTAGGTTTATCGTGAACCTTTATCTGCCTCAGACGGTGGGGATTCTCTAACCGACACCGTGGTTTACGTTAAGGTTAGACCGAAGTTCCGATCCTGGTCACATGCATCCCGCTTCAGTGATAGACGAATCTGACGGATCTGAATCTTGGAACATCTTTTCCATTGCATGCATGGGCTCGCTAGTAATGAACAAAGATATAAATGTTTTTTTTACTTCATTGTTCATTTATTGAATATACAAATAAATGTACAGTCAACATTCCGGAAGGGGGCCGCAGCCATACAAACGCTGCCTGGGAAAACAGGTGGTGGCGGGGTTCTTCGAACCCGGGACACCCAGGTCACTATAGTTGGCCACCACTATCACCTACTAGTAGAGAAAAAATAACTACTTCCAATTAAACTCATGCGCCACATCCGATAAATATTAAAGTAGTCAGTTTATGAAGATAGTGGCCTGTTAGAACGCGAATAATCAGCAGTGGCCATGTTTCGGACTTGACAGTTCCGATGAAATTCCGGACTGGACAAGAATTTCATGAATCACACTGTTAATTTCGCCCCTTCTCTCCGATTTTTTGCATCCCACGGGTTTCACGTTTAGCGTTCAACGAATTCCCATGGTTTTTTTAAACGGGCAGTTATCCATAATCGGTTTGTCACTAATATGCACTTCACATATCGGTTCGCTTTTGACTCAGAGGTGCAATTGGTAGCTTATAAACAACCCGCCAACTTGTTAATACAGAGATGAATATATATATAATATCATATTATATATATATATATATATATAGTTATAGATCGGACGAGTTTTCTAAACTAAAACATTTATTTTCGCTAGGAGTCGTTACTCAAAACTTGTGCGGTGACTTTATGGTAATTCCGTGTAAGGTAAATGCGCCTAACCTCAACAAACCTCACAACAAGAGTTATTTGGTAAAAAATGTATGAAGTATTATATGAATGACCGCGCAGAATTTTCCAAGTTGATTAATCTAACTTACAAGATATTGTCATTGGGCTGATTCATTTTTCCTTGGAATCTCCTCCCCGAGAGACAAGTGAATAAATCTTCAGTAGCATTCTCTTCTCACGGTGCTGATCGAGTTTCGGTTCCATCGCCTCGATTTCCGCCAGCAGTTTTCCACTCCCCATCGTTTCCTATCGAGATCCCCGGTAATGGGATTAATGCTGCCATTGATGAACGCGTGCGTGCTCGTACCCACTAACTCTCGATTGCCAGTCACCTATGTGCTCGTCAATCAATTGACAAGAGAAAGTGGAACCAGTGCGTTCGAGATCAGAATCATCTCTCCCCCCTGTTGAATCTGTTTTTTATGCACTCAGCCAATCCAGAGTTGCTGCAGTGAGCGAAGCTTGAAGAGAGTCGATGAAAACGTTTCAACA